CCAGTGGTGAATAAATACCACCAAAAGAAAGCTCTATCTGTCCCCAAAAAAGGGTATAAAATTCATTTCAGTACAGCGCTGCATGACGGAATAAATGTCAGACAAAGTACCGCAGCGCTGAATACTGAAAAATGGCCAGGATGGGAAGGGGGTTTAACACCGCGGATGTCAACTGGTTAAAGTGTATCTAAATCCCAAAACAACAAAAAACTAAAAAGTAATATATTAGCTGACCAGCCCTCATATGTGGGGACTGCTTATGTTTTCTTTTGTCATGCTTTTGTCCCTTTTTTTTTTCCACTCAGTAATCCTGTGATTACTGTCCCTTTGTGTCTACACCAGGGGTGGGCAACTCTGGCCCTCCAGCTGTGCTTTAACTACAAATTGCAACATGCCTCTGCCACTGGGAGTCATGCCTGTAACTGTCAGTCTTGCAATGACTCATGGGACTTGTAGTTGCACAACAGCTGGAGGGCCGGAGTTGCCAAACCCTCTCCATTGTATCTATGGGGGCAGTCATGGTTGACACGCAGGCGGAACTTTGTTCATTTTCATTACATGGTGGATTTTACAAAAGTTAAATTGTTTATGCTGTCTTTTTAGTTCACAGGAAGTGACACAAACACTGCATTCCTGGCATGATCAACGGGTATTTTCTGTACTCGTTGAAAATGTTCTTAGCCTGAAAAAAGGAAACAAATGCAGGCACCACATCTAGGGACTGATAGTTTACAATATATTAAATGGTTGCTCTTGTTTAAATACACTTTAAATTGGTGACCTATTGAGGTTAATGGCCTTTTGAGTTCAATAGGTTCCCAAGCTGGAGTTATGCTACACAGAAAACAAGCAACTCCAAGCACTGCAGGAGACTGGTAGCTGCTTTTATTAAATCAGAGAAAAGCTATCAGTGGGAGTTCTAAGTGAAGAGACTCCCTATGATCCATACAAGTGGGGGAAAAGAGGGAGAGATTTCCTACATCCTTATTGAAAGTTTATATAGCTTTTGTGTACAACTGCTACAGTGGACTCTGCTTACATGAAAAAAAGTGTTTTTTTTTCTTCAAATTTTGCTTATGCTACAGAAAACGGCCGAGTTCACTAAGCTATATAGCATGTCCTTTTTCAATACCCATTATGTTTAGCCATGTGACCTCTATTTGGGGTGCCATTACGAGAACTGGAGTGGATCCTCAGCCGGGGGTCCAGTGCTGGGCTGCTATGCTGTGACGGAGCTCCATCCATACATGCATTGCTGGTACAATTCCCATGCGTGCCCTGTAGAGGTTCGGGGAGCTAGAATGTGATGTCACTCCGGTCGAGGCACCTCTACAGGGCACGTAAGTAATGCATGTATGGATGGAGCTCCCTCGTGGCCCTATCTCCAGCCCACCCCACCTCAAGCTAACAATCAACGCCAGGCAGCATATTCTGAATGACTGCTCTGCGTAAGAACTGACATTGCTGTGCTAGGAGTAGGATAAGAGACTCTCACCTAGAAAAGTGGAAGGCACATGGCGACCCACTAAAGACGTATTTTGC